ACACACACACACACACACACACACACACACACACACACACACACACAAGAACAATCTTAGAATCTAGGCCCTAGGTATTATTATTATCATTGTCATTATTATTAATGTTATTATTGTCTGTAGTCATAATACTGTTCTTAAGGTAAATTCACAAAGAGTAAAAATGAATATTTCTCAAAGTGCTTATTTCTCACACATGACAACTTTCTGTGTTATAAAACTTCTCTTGTCTCCGTTCTAGGGTGTACAAGAGAGGGCGAACCTGACTTCTCCTCTCCTTTCTAAAGAGGATCCCATTTTTACTTCCCTGTCTCAAAAGCTGGGCCTCAGTGTGGATGAGGTGGGCCATCGAATCCATCAAGGCCTACTGAAGGTAGAGCTCACTCAGAAAACTTTTCTCACCTAAATATGCAAATGATCTAGACTAAATCAAACACGTATGTTCAAAAGAGGTTACTCTTTCTCATTTGTCAACCATGATTAGTGTTTTATTAAATGAATGCATTTCTGGGAATTCTATTAACTTGTATACATGTTGTTGTTTTTTTTTTATTTTTCTTTCTTTCTTTTTTCTTTCTTTTTTTTTAATACTTTTTTTTCCTTTTTCTTTCTTTTGTTTTTATTTTTTATTTTTTGGGGGGAATTCTATTAACTTATATGAATGTTGTTTTTTTCATTTTACATTTTATTTTTCTTTCATTTTTTTCATTTTTCTTTTTTTTAAAAACTTTTTTTGGGGAATTCTATTAACTTGTATACATGTTTTGAATGTGCATCTTTACCTGACTTGCTCTCAGTCAAGCATAGGAAACCATTTATTTGTCACATAGGCCAAACAACTGTGAGTTTTCCAAAGAGTATAAAAAAAAAACTTATCTAACTGATCGAGTTCCTGTTTCAGAACTCCTCCTCCTGGGTGCTGTACAACATGGCGTCGTTTTACTGGCGCATGAAGAACGAGCCCCAGAGAGCCGTGGACTGCGTAGTGCGTGCTCTGCATTTCTCACCCAGGTACCACCCGCCTCTGAACCTTTTTCCTGATACACAGTTTACGTTAGGATGTAGGGGTGGGACTGTTCACAAAACCCACGGTTCGGTTCGCTTCACGGTTTCGTGGTTTTGGGTTCGGTTCGGTTTATGTTGATTGTTAGGAAAATCTATTATGTCTTTTAAAGTCAGGTTAAAACTGAAAGAAAAAAGCAGTCTGACATGTGAACCATTATTGTGACAGTCTGAGGTTAAAGTAGGTGAGATTCTGCCAGAGAGGAAACAGTGCTAATTCCAACATGTGCTTCATTTATTAGGCAAACAATCTTTAACAAAGAAGCATAGGCTCTATCAAAACTAGACTTGGGTCCCTTTGTTTGAATTTAACTCAAGATAAATTGACATGTTTCAATTCACTCATTATCAAAACTCAGTTTGTTCTGCAGTGTTTGAAATACAATCAAATAAATAAGGCTGGATTTCTTATCAAACTTAAAGTACCACTGTGTTATCTACCCGGATACTGCTTCTTCTTCTTCTTGTTTCCTACTGGTGGTTGGCTTTGGGCGCAGTAGCGCCCCCTTCTGCTCTGGAGTGTAAACGCTTCCCTCTGAGAAAAAGGAGCAGCAGGAACCCAACCAACACATGAGAACCAAACCGAGACAGAACCCAACGGTTCGGATGGTTTTCAGAAACCGTCCCATCCCTACTGACTAGGGTTGTCAAAAGTATGGATGCTAAAATGTTGTATCCGGATACGATACTCATTTTCTAAAGTATCGATACCACCCCCCTTCTCTCAGATTTATTTATGTATTTATTTACGTTGTTTATGATCATTAACAAGACGTTAGCCTTGAACTGCTAGCTGCGGCTAATGGCTAATAATAACATGCTACCCTTAATCAAGTACATATCCAACTCCGCCCACATCCAAATCGGACGTTTTTATTAGGTCACCAATAGGAAGATCCCAGGCAAGAAAATCCTAATGGCTTCATGGCAATATAGACATTAATTTAAAAATAGTGAAAGTAGTTTTCAGAAACCGTCCCATCCCTATTAGGATGCTGCTCACGGGTTTAGTGTTTGTTTCTCGCGGCTTTATTGACTGTTTGAGTTGGACGACTGTTTCTAAAAATCACAATTCTTTTTACAACACAAAACTTCCCGGGTGTGTTCCTCCTCTCTAAGGCCGCAGAAGGACGTGGCTCTGGTCAACATGGCCAACATCCTGCACCGCGCCCACTTCTCCGCGGACGCCGCCATCTTGGCCCACGCCGCCCTCGACCTGACCTCAGACCTGTTCACCAGCCACTACACCCTGGGAAATATTTACGCTGTAAGCATTCTGCTAAAGTAAAGGGCTGTATGTTTAAAGCCATGCTTACACACACACACACACACACACACACACACACACATATATAAACATTAAGCACATGTAAGTTTGAGCAATACAGAAATATCTAAACATCAAGCTGATTTTATCAAACATTTGCCAAAACTGTTAGAACTGCTTACCCCTTTAAAGCCTGATCCAAGTAAAATAGGAAGAATATTGGATTTTTTTAGTCTGAAGTCTCAAAAATGCAATAAGTCAAAAATCTATGTTGGTGTAGTTTTCTACTGGCTGTTATCAGGTATATCTGAATGTGTACAACAGGGGTTTGAGCAAAGCTTTTACCACTGAATGATGCAGAAAGTCTCAGATCCAAAAGAAACCGGATCAGATATGACACATTTGGCTTTATAGGGTTAAGTTAATTATGGAGATAGTAACACAAATGATTCCCTTCTGGGATTATTAAAGTATTTCTGATTCTGATAAAATAAACATGATAAACATGTGGTGAGTTTACATGGTAGAACTCTAAAATAATAAATGGAGTTCCATTGTTAGTTAGGTATACTAGTGTATGATTTCTACATTTTTATCTCTGCTG